TTTATACAAACACATGTGTATCTGCATATATACATCTATACATATAAACATATATATATATATATACATGTATATACATATGAATATATATATATATATATTATATATATATATATTATATATATTATATATATTTATATTTGCGTGTTTGTCTTTTGTTTCTTCCATTTGTTCAGCACAACAGAAGTATTTTAAATTTTATTTCTTTGAAATACACCTTAAGTAAATAATATAAAATAATATTTTTAATAGATTTCTTTCTAATGCAATGTATATAGAACGCAAAAAGGAGCAGATAGTAGGTGTGCATACACCGCAGCCCTTCTGTGGCTGTTCTTAGCTTATTTTTCTTTGTTTTTCTTTCTTTTTAGATTAATATAAATGAATAAAAACATATATATTTATTTTTAAATATATTTAAACAAAAAACGCCCGTTTCAAACACGAAAACAGTGCTGCTGCTCAGGAGCATCAAGACCCCCCGGTGACTCTGAGCGGCCTCGCATTGTGTTGTTGTTGGGGTGTATATACAGCTGAAATATATAAAAATTATATTATGATATTATATATTTATTTGTAACAAAATGTTTATTTAGTTTTATTTGTGTGTCATTGTCTTTTTCTTTCATTTTCTTCTTCTTCTTAAATCTACTGGGGGGTGTGTTGAGGTGTACATACACCTCAAGTTAGCTGTGCAGCAGCTAGTTATTTTTTTTTGCTAAAATAATCAACATGGATTCTTCTTTGTCTTCTTTTCTTCATTTTCCCTCCCTTACTGCCCCCCTTACCAGCCCTGACATTGCGAAGAGCAGCAGCAAAGCTACAGCAGCAGCAGCAGCAGCAGCAGCTGCTGCTGCTGCTGCTGATGAAGCAACCCCTCTATGTGCAGCTTCTAAGCCCACAAAGACGGGGGAGGCTTTGTGGGGTCGTCTGACCTCTCAAGTTGGGCAACTGCAGCAGCAACTGCAGCAGCAGCAGCTGCAGCAGAAGCTGCAGCAGAAGCTGCAGCAGCAGGTGCAGCAATTAATATTCCGAAAGGAAGCAGACATAGAGCGAGGCAGCTGGAGCTTAGCAAGTGGCGATGCTTTTTGTATTTGTTCTGTTACGATTAGAGGCCCTATTAAGGGGCTTCAAGCAGCAGCAATTGCGTATAGCTTTGTTCCTTTGCTGCTATTTGCTGCTGCTGCTGCTGCAGCGATCGTTGCTGCTAACCCCCTCTTCATATTCGCTGCGGTATCCAAACACTACAACTAATGCTGCTGCTGCTGCTGCTGCTGCTGCTGCTGCTGCTGCTGCTGCTGCTGCTGTTACTGCTGTTAGTGGTGGTGCTGCTGCTATGGCTGTATTTTGCTTCTTCTGCTGTTTTAGCTGCTGCAGCAACTGCTTTGCATGCTGCTATGAATAGTCTTGCTGCTGCTATTACTGCTACCGCTGCTGCTGCTGCGTGTCTGCATGCATGCGCTGCAGGGCCTTCAGCTGGTGCTGATGATAGTAGGAGAGTTTATATTAAAGCAGGTGTATAGCAGCCAAAGACCTTCTTCTTCGCTTTGTTTGTCTAACGGGATGCCCTCTACACACAGTTTTGTTTCTTATGCTCTGCTTTGCTGGATTTGCTTAGAAACAGCAGCAGCAGCAGCAGCAGCACCAGCAGCAGCAGCAGCAGCAGCACCAGCAGCAGGGCTGCTTCGTTTGCTGCTCGTTGTCGCTGCTTTCTGTCTCCTCGGCCCTATCCCTTGGGCGCGCATACACCTGAGCGACCACTCGCCGCTGCAGTGCTGTGTGGGGTGTATAGCGGGTGTAGCTGCTGGAGGCATTGCTTTTGCTGCTAGACATGCATTTGCTGCTGCTGCTGCTGCTGCTCCTGCTGCTGCTGCTGCTGCTGCTGGCCTCTCTTAAATGCAGCGTCTTCATGCATGCAAACGCCTTCTACACCGCATGCATACGCAGGGAGCAGTCTTTCATACAATTAACATTTAGACTGCCACCCAGCTAGCTAGCTAGCTATCCAGCTAGTTAGTACCTCGCTAGCTAGCTATCTCGCTAGCTAGCTAACTAGCTGGATAGCTAGCTGCATTGATTTGCTGGCTAGGGCTCTAGCCGGCTAGCTAGCCAGTAAGCCTCGATAGCTACCTGGCTAGCTAGCTAACTATCGATAGCTAGCTAGCTAGTCAGCTAGCTATCGAGGTAGCTAGCTAGCTAGCCAGCTAGCTATCGAGGTAGCTAGCTAGCTAGCTAGCTAGCTGCGCATGTCGAGGAAGGTGAAGATGTTTGTTCGGTAGCGCACAGCAACAAGAAAAATATTTTTGGTGTCAATTTTGCAAACAGACGATCCCTAAACCCTAAACCCTAAACCCTAAACCCTAAACCCTAAACCCTAAACCCTTAACGGAAGCAATTCATCTACAGCGATAAAACAGCCAAAGGGCTTCAAAAGCCTGTGGGCTGGACGTACACCTGAGCGACGCCTAAACCCTAAACCCTAAACCCTAAACCCTAAACCCTAATCTAAACCGTGAAACGCTCGCCCTACGTCAGCTGCCCCTTTAGAAACACCTTAAAGCTGCAGTTACACCTAAAAGGTGCGGATACACCTGAAAGCTACAGATAAAGATACAGTTAAAAGATGAAGGTACACCCGAAAGATGAAGATACACCCGAGAAGGGTTTGTTTGTTTTTATGCTGAAGAACTTTAACGCATTGCATTAAACCCCCGCTGCATGCTGCTTTTAAAGAAGAATAAACCCTACACAAATAAATATAATATAAGTCTGATATATATATATATATAATGCTTTTATGCACATATATACATATATTTACATATATGCATGTTTATATATATATATATATATATATATATTTACATATATACATATATATATGTATATATATATATATT